CGCCATGACGTCAGCAGCCAATCAGCGCACGCCCGCTGTTGCATCGGAGCTGCGTTATTGACAGCCCGCCACCCGCACATGCTTTCGGAGTTTGGAGCGCGGAAACGCCGCCACACATCGGCGTCAGTGCGCGCCTAATAATTTGTTGCATTGCTCATCGCACCTCGACCTCACTCGCACACGCCTCCTCGGCCTCACTCTCCACGTCCTCGGCATACACGGTTCGTACCCTCGTCGTCTGGCGCGACGTGCTCAGCTCACAGACGCAGTCTCCCTCGCAGTCCCTCATGATGACCAACAACACGTCTGTCAATCCCTCGGAAGTCGGCTGGCAATTCGTTCCTCAGTACTACACCTTTGTCAACAAGCACCCCCACCGCCTCCACTGCTTCTACAACAAATCCTCCACTTTCATTCACGGTACTGAGGGCGAGGACGGCAAGCCCTGTTTCGGCCAGCAGGTGAGTTACCAATTGGTTCTCGCTTCCGACGCGTCTTGCCACTTTTACGCGCCCGAGTCCGAGTGGCATCTGTCCTACCACTCTTCGTCCCCTACCCGTCCTCCGGAGAAGCCACTCTTCGCACTTTAGTTCTTTTTCTGCGTAGGTGGGACGACGCGTGGCAAATACTGGTACCGCAGTCCTCTGCGTGATTGAGATACACCAATTAGGAAGGGTTTGTAGCTGCTTTGCGTGTCGGGCAATACTCTACTCCACTGAGCCGCTATGTCTTGTGCCACGTCCCCCGGTCTTCGTGACTTACCCCGCTTTTTACGTACTGATGTGCTACGGATGTTTACGACTCTTGGTGGGCCAGGTGGCTGACTACGTGATTTTTCACCTAGGAAATCCACAACAAGATCACTTCTATTGGCTTCCAGGACTGCAAGGTTTTCATCCACTCCGTCGATGCTCAGTCTTCGGCGAATGGCGGTATCATCATTCAGGTGATCGGTGAGATGTCGAACAAGGGCGAAGCCTGGAGGAAATTCGTGCAGACGTTCTTCCTCGCTGAGCAGCCCAACGGCTACTTCGTCCTCAACGACATCTTCCGCTTCCTGAAGGAGGAGTCCGTCGAAGAGGGTGACGAGCAGGAGACCGAGCCTGCTCAGAAGCCCGTTTCCACTGAGCAGGTCGTCCCTATATCCCCCGCCCCCTCGTCACCCGCCCCTCCTCCGCCTGCCGAGCCGGAGCCTGTGCCTGCTCCCAGCCCCGCCCCGCCCCCTGCTGTCGAGGAGCGTGCTCCTTCCCCCTCTCCCTCTCCCGCCCCCGAGGCTCAGCCTCAGGTCAACGGCCACGCGCCAGAGACCAGCGAGGCGCCGGCGGGCAAAGAGCTCGAGATCGCCCGTGTTCGGTGTTGTGTAGTGGAGCTCAGGCTGTACATAGCAGATACAAAATATATCTCATTGCGACCGGAACTCTACGTGTGCAGCTCGGATTCTCGCGCGGCCATCTACGCTACGTTCGTTCAGTGAAGTACAAGTCCGCGGAATAGGCGCCCGTGTGCATCGTAGATGCGAAGGACGAGAAAGTACCGCGAATAGCGACGTCGTATGTGTGTTTCATGGCTCTCTATTGCACTGTGGGTCTCTGCTGTACTATGGGTCCCTGCTGTGTGGTGCGGGAGCACGCAGAGGGCACGGCGGCACAGAGTGGAGGGCTCGGACACGGAGGCCTCGATTGCGAACACCCACACGAGCGGCTATTCTACACGTCTTGCTTCTCGCCACCACGCCCGCCCTTCGATTTCGACTTCGACTTCGCCGCCGCGCCTCGAAACTCGCCAGGGCTCGCCATCTATCGTCCAGCGCACAAGACACGCCCATCTGCCCATGCACGACTGCGTACATGCTCGCGGCTGCGACACACCTGAGGCCGCCTTTGCGAATCACCAGGGCGCGAGCGAGGTAAGTATGTGCACGCTTTTCACGCCGCGAGCTCATCCATAGCGGCCGCGGCGTTTCCCTGTGTGCGCACAGACGCGTCGCGACGCGCCTGAGCATGCCCGAGTGGTACCGGCCACGTCGCCTGTCACGAGCCCTCTCGAAAATGAAATGGCCTGTGCTCCGCCGTTCGCAGTACGACACGAGGCTGCGCGCAACGACGCGAATCGGGTACGTGCCCATAAGCATGCCTGCGCATTTTCGAGGCACTCCCGGCAGAGGGAAATGTCCTCTTTGACGTGCTCACGCGTGTGCAGTGTCACGCTAGTGAGGGCGGACGATGTGTACCACCGCACAACAAAAGTTGACACATACCTCATTTGCAGAGGCAGCAGCACGTGTCCTGTCTGTCCTCGCCTTTCCCCGTGCTGTAGCGTGCCTGCAGGCAGGTGCGTCAGAATGTAGGTACCGTAAGCAAATACGAGTAGGTACGTACCTGTACTGCTCGTGAAACAAAACATGGTTGCTCATGTTCGGTATGGACAAGATGGTAGGTCCCGTGTAATGTAGAGAAGCGACTAAGACAGACATAGAATCAGTCTGAGTCCTTGCTAATGTGTGAGCCATGAGCATCAACAAGGACGTACCGTAAAGCTCCCATGCACGGTGAACACCTCAACCTGCGTTGGTCCTGCGAGTTTGAGCATGCACTGTGCTGCGCGACCACCGGTGCTGATTGTGCAAGCCTGCGATCTCGCAATTGCCGGCTCCCCGTGCGATGGACACACAAGGTACCACAGTATGGCACTGCACTGCCCTTGCAGCCAACCCTCTTCCCATCCCGTATGCCCGCCCCACTGTTGCATGTGCAGTACAACATACATAGCCAGCTCTCGTATGTGGGATATCAAATCCAATAGCATGTGAACACGTACCGAGACACAAAGCGGGCGTGAGACTCCACGGCGCCTGGCTGCCCTCCTGCCACCAGATAGCCCAATATCTTCTCATGGTGACCGTTTCCGCTGAGCACGGCCAACGCTAAGAGGAGAATATTCTGGTGAATTTGTGGCCAACCAGAGGAAGTGAAGATGTGTACCTGATGAAGGAATGCCTCCGAGAACACCAGCAGCTGACCCAGGAGGAGTGCAGGATGGTCCATGGGCTGGATGCGCACAAGAGAACGGGGAGAGGGAGGAATAGGAGCAGGATACTGACACAGGCACGGGACAAGGAGTTTGTGAGCGATTTGGGAAGGTGGGAGGGACCATTGGCCAGCCCGGCCCCGGGCCAGAGCTTCCATGCGGGTACACACTAGCTAGACTGCACCGCGCCGGGGCGGTGTGCACACCATGCATCACACAAATTTGCACTCGCTTCATGCCCATTTTGCAAGGGCTGATGGCGCAGCCCAGGATACAAGCTCCTGTTCATGGAAACCCGCTCATCTTGCAACACCCACATGGAGATCTCGCTTCTTTCAGCTGTGCCTCTCGCTTGTTGTCTCCA